ACCGATTGGAATCCCATTTTGGCTATTTTTTGAGTTTGGGTTTGAAGCCAAGTTTGGATTTTGGTGTGACCTCCTTGGTGTTTAATGATCACATTGTTGTCCCCGACAAAATCTCAAAGTTTCATAGGATTCGGAGCGGTTTCATTTCGGTGGGAATTTGTGATTTTCATCTCAAATTGAGGTAGGGGATGTCATAGGTTTATATTTGAGTTGTATTGATTGTTTTGATAGCTTATACAACTTGTATGCATGTTTTATTCATGTTTTAGAATTTAATTTAATTATTTTCTATGTTTAATATTTAATTCTCATGATGGTATATAACTTATAATTAAATTGTGGCATGTTAGTAAACTAAGCCTTGGTATGTTTATCAACATATATTAAATTGGGAGCATTTGAATAAGAATTGCAACTTTTATTTAATATTTATCTTTTGTGAAAGATTAATTCACATAGTTGTATCAAGCATGAAATTAACTTGTAATGTAATATTAAAGTAGGTCTTAGTGTGTTCTTTAACCTATATTAATTTAAGGACATTTGGAGTTGTTTAAAATCTAGAGAAAATTAATTAATTAGCTTAATTAATTTTATTTTTAAGTGTTGTAGTCACTTAAATTGATATTGGGTGTAATATATGTGAAGACCGTGCTATGTCCTTTAACATATATTAATTTGAGTATAATTGGAATTGATTTGAAATTTAGAGACTTTTCAAGTTAGGTTGAGAACCTCTTGAAACTTAGTATGTTTAATTACCTTGTGAGCATATTACTAATTAGTAGAATTAGTACTTGTGGCCTCTTAAAATGGTAATTGGACTTAGCAGGATATAGAATATCATTGACTTACATAACTTGTTTAAATATATCTCGTATAGGTATATAGCTTGTTTAGAATATTACAATTGATTACCTTGAAAGGTAGTTACTAAATTATAACTTATTTAGTACTTGTGACTTAGGATGGTAATTGGGTTTAATTGTTGTGAAATATTCTTATTTTGTGTATAAATTATATATTGGAGACTTGACATGTCATATACTATTTAGACTTGAGCTCTAGGACATGGTTTGTGTGGATTCAACCTTACTCGTGCATGGAAGATGGGTTTTATGCATTATTGGATTTGATATAAGTTAGTTTGGTCTAACTTATTGATTTTGGTTTAAGTTTTGAATTATTGATAAAGACCACCAACTTTAAAAGTTCAAGTGTATGCATTTAAATTCCAAGTTTTGCCTTCAAAATGTAATTTTTCTGATATTGGAGGTTTGACGTATGGTTTTGTAAATTCAATATGTATTGAGGCTTTGAGCCATTGTATCACATTCTATATACATTTTACATTTGTGAGCATGCTCACACACATGCACAAGTCTAAAATATTGTTTTTGGACCAAATTCAAGTTGTGGTTTAAGGCTTGGGTGAAGCCATAACATTTCTTGTGTATGGCAGGACTTTTTGCACTTTCTCTGGTCATTTCGGTCTACCGAAATATTGTTTATGTTGATCGATGGCTTTTTTGTTTAAATTGCACAGAAAAACTCACTTTCCAGTAGCTAAAAACACTGTTTGGGTCAATTTCGGTCGACCGATTCTTTATTTCGGCCTACCTAAATGATTTTCCTTCATTTTTAGGATTTTGGGCCATTTTGGGTTCATTTCAATCCACCGGTGGCTCATTTCGGTCGACCTAAATGGTTTAATTCTTCATTCTTCAGTTTTAGAACAATATTGTTGCTCTGACTTCAAACGGTCATAACTTCTTCATTTCTAATCCAAATGGGGTGATTCTTGAGCCTAAATTCAAGGATTTTGAGTCATCTTTCTAATGGTACCGATGCCATTTTAATATTTAAATTAGAGTGGGATTTATTCATATTTTAGTGAGACAGTGTCGGATTTTGTTTGAACCGGGAATGGGAGTCTTGTAGGATTCTTGGCCAAAGTTCTATGAACCTCTTGGAATGTTGTGAAATGATTAGTTTAGATTGTGTGGACCTCATTTGACTTGCTTGGAGTCAAATTTCCCTTCTTATTTGTAAATTGACCATTTTGCCCCTAATTGACAGATTTTGCCGGTTTTGACTCTCGTTTGCTCATTCGCTTTTCTTTAAGTTTCGTGACTTCATGGAAGGTCACATTAGTGTCTTGGGGATGATTTATATCTCTATAGACTTTGGTTTTACTTTATTGCTCTGTAGACTTTGGTTTTATCTTTCACTTCCACATTTCGGATCCGTTATCGGGTTAACTTTTGGTTCATCACTGACGCACCGGTTTGCAAAACTTGGGTCGTCACAAACTCTTTAGGTCAATATTTTTATAAGAGGCTTCCATGTAATTCTTTATAACTCAAAACTGATGTGGGACAATTAAACTCTTTTTATATCAATTAATAAATATTTTTTTTATATTAATAAATAAATACTGAAATACTATGATTAATATTTCTTTAGGACAATTAAACCAATTAAACTCTTTAGGTCTATATTTTTATAAGAGGCGTCCATGTAATTCTTTATAACTCAAAACCGATGTGGGATAATTAAACTCTTTTGATCTCAATTAATACATATTTTTTTATATTAATAAATAACTACTGAAATACTATGATTAATATTTCTTTAGGACAATTAAACCAATTAAACTTTTTTTATATCAATTAATAAATATTTTTTTATATTAATAAATAAATACTGAAAGACTGAAACTCTTTACATACTTAATATTAAAATAAATAAATACTGAAATACTGAAACTCTTTGCACATTTAATAATAGTATAGACATACATAGGGTCAAGTTAGCTCAATCAATCAGAACACCGCCGTGTCAAGGTTCAAACCCGCATAAAAAAGACAAGCCAATGGGATATGGGCCACATTCTACTAGTTTAATTAGAAGGCAAACTTCCAATCAGCCAGGAAAAAAAAAAATTATGATCCTTATCACAAACATCAAAATTGTATTAGTAAAGTAGGTTAAGTGAGATTAACCCAATTTTAATACGGCCCATAAAGCCCACGCAGAAGAACCCAGAAGAATGATATAAATAGAGGATAATTCAAATACTGTTATAACATAGTGGGGTCCACTTCATCATTTACCCCATGCATGAGTGTTATTGCAGAATATGGTGTGCTAAGGGGATTGTCTATATCAGTAGATTATCTATTGAAGACTAGTGTGTTATGTATTGCGTGCTTTGTATGAGATAATATAATGAGTGAAATGCAGTGCATTAGGTGGTGAAAACTATATAAATTAAGAAATGTAGTGTATTGCAAAGCTGATACACCAACAGACTTATAATGCACGTACATACTGATTGTGCACACATGTTGTATTATAAGTTGTCTGATCAAGACTTGTGAGAAGAATCGTTATGCATTCTTTGTGTTGTATTTTGCTGAGAATTGACACTACTGAATTATTTTTTTCTTTTTTTGGCCTTCGTTACTTTGAGAATGCAATTCGCTACCACTTTGAGAATGCAACTCTTTATCTAAAAGAATAGACGTCACACTTTTGAATTAATTGGTGTCTCATTCTTGAATCAAAATCCCCTTGGGTGAGCTTTTTCAACGTTTCATTTGATGGGTGGAGGTCATTATTGTCAATAGTAACTTTCATTAGTCTAATGGTTTCCCATGTGAACTTGAAAAAACAGGAGGTGAAAAATAGACAAAATTATTAAAGTAGGAACGCAGCTATGGCTTAAAAAAAAAAAGGGCATTTTGATTCAAACTAGCACATTCACAATAGAGAGCACTGGCTAGCTTCAACTGTTAAACTAGAAATTCTCAACTTCTGAGGTTTTAATCAGCTGTGAAGAGAAAGAAAGATGGCACACCAAAGGAGGGCTATGGTGAATGTTGGGATCGTATGGCAAACTAGAGGAGGAAATTTGAAATTTGGGCTTTAAATTCACAAATCGGGCCCATGTTTGAGTTGGGTTTTGTTAAAACCCAGACATATTCGGGTTGGGCTCGGGCTCAACCCGAACCCAAAAAAATAATAATAATTTTTTTTTCTCCTTTCTCTCTCCTCTCCCTTCTTTCTCTTTCTGTCTCTGTCACCGCCGTCCCCCTCTGCTGCCATTCGAGGAGATAAGTGTACCAGAGCTTGTAGATTCCAGGGAACGCTTTGAGGGCTTGCTCGAAGATCCTGTGATGTTTATTGAAATTTGCGTCAGTTCGAGTAATTAGGTAGCGACACCATAGCTTCAAGTTGAAGGGATTTCGGAGGAGCTTTTCTTTGTAAAGGAGGTCATCTTGACTTGGGTAGAGCTCTTGTGGTATTATTGACATGGCGATTTCAAAACCCTAACAAAATCAAGATTACACTTGATTTTAGTTTTCAAAACAAGAATTATAGACCTTGATTAGTTGATTTAGAAAAAAAATAAATAAAACAAAACCCATACATACAAGGAAGCAGTTGCAAAGAGAGAGGCAGGCAAGCTTGAGAGTTGAGAGACAGCGATTGAAGCTTGTGAACGGCGAACCCGAACTAAAACAACGAGCGATGGAAACTGAAAGATATGGGTTTTGATTTTTTGAACAATCTGAAATGAAATGCCGATATGGGTTTTGATCTTTTGATATAGATAAACTGAAATATATAAGTTTTGAACTTCTAATTCTTTAGATTTTGTAGTTTGCAGTTGTAGAGGGAGAGAGAGGGCATGTTCAGAGTTGAAATGATAGAGGCGTTGGGGAGGCTGAAATGATTTGCCCTAAAAATATTTTATTTTTTAATAATAATATAATCAAATAATATATATATATATATCAAATATATAAATTTTCGGGAAAAAAAAATCATAAAAATAAAAAAAATCAACCTGTCAACCCAACTCGAGCCCGAAAATATTCGGGTTGAATTTTGACCATAACCCATGTTAGATATAATTTGGGCTGGTCCAACCCAATCCTATTCGGATTGAGGTTGGGTTGGATTGAGACTGGGCTGGGTTGGGGAGCCCAACTTGCAACCATTGTGAAAGCCAAGATCCAAGACAAGGAAGGAATTCCTCCGGATCAGCAGCGGCTGATTTTCGCCGGCAAACAGCTTGAGGACGGCCGGACTCTCGCCGATTACAATAGCCAGAAGGAGTCGACTCTCCATCTGGTTCTCAGGCTTCGAGGAGGTATGCAGATTTTTTTCAAAACCCTAACCGGCAAGACCATCACGCTCGAGGTTGAAAGCTCCGACACAATTGACAATGTGAAAGCTAAGATCCAAGACAAGGAAGGGATCCCTCCTGATCAACAGCGTTTGATTTTCGCCGGAAAGCAGCTCGAGGATGGTCGGACTCTGGCCGATTACAACATACAGAAGGAGTCCACCCTCCATTTGGTTCTGAGGCTTCGCGGTGGGATGCAGATCTTTGTAAAGACTCTGACAGGAAAGACAATTACTTGGGAAGTGGAGAGCTCGGACACCATTGATAACGTGAAGCCCAAAATCCAAGACAAGGAGGGCATTCCTCCGGACCAACAGAGATTGATCTTTGCTGGTAAGCAGCTCGAGGACGGGAGGACTCTTGCGGACTACAACATTCAGAAGGAGTCTACGCTGCATTCGGTGTTGAGGCTTAGGGGAGGAATGCAGATATTTGTTAAGACATTGACTGGGAAGACCATCACATTGGAGGTGGAAAGTTCGGTTACAATTGATAATGTCAAGGCTAAGATTCAGGACAAGGAGGGTATTCCAATGGATCAGCAGAGATTGATCTTTGATGGCAAGCAGCTCGAGGATGGGTGCACTCTTGCTGATTACAACATACAGAAGGAGTCAACCTTTCACCTTGTCTATGATGGTGATTTCTGAAATCCATGCATTTTAGTTTATTGGCTTGTTGTGGTTCTAGTTGGTTTGTGATCGAAGATAGTTTCTTTAATGAGTAGATAGTTTCTTAATGTTCTGTAGTTTCGTGTTACTGCTCTTGGGTTCTAATGTTGACTTTGTCGAATTGAATAAAATCATGTTGTGTTCTGTATTATACACCTTCTTGCCATATGAGTCTATATGTGATTTGGTTTCTATTTTTTTTTTTATTTTGGTTTTGTTATGGATGCAAATTGGAATATTTTTGGAGGATATTTGAAGATTTAATATATGTGAAATGTGGCATGATGTTGAAGGAGGTAATTGTTGAAGATTTATATTTACGAGACCAAAACAATGTTTCGGTGATGATATTCAACTATTGTTTTCAACCCTTTTGATATCTTGGGTTCGACAGTCGGATACATCCATACACATACATACGACTTTTTCATGTCGGATCCAAATTCAAATTCAACATATGTTGAATCTATTCGCAGGTCTGACTGCAATTCCAAATATGGAATTCAAATAGGGGATTGAGAGAGTGTGCTTGGACAAAGAATGATTCAAATTCAACATAGCATATGTTGATTGTACCTTGAACTTTCTACCCCATATCTGCAAACTTTAGGGGCTCTTTCGTTTTCTGTTCATTATGGGTCTGTATGGTTGGTTAATTATAGGTTGGCAACATTTATCTTTTGATTTGATTTTGAGCTGCTTTCAGTGTAGATATCACGAACCTAGGTTCCAATAGATGATTTTAATCTTTAGGGTTTTGTCAGAGTTTGAAGATTAATTTTAGCATGGATAAACCTGAACTGAATTCTTTTAGTTATATTTGAAATTCAGAGGCTATTGATTCGTACAATGGGTAAAATTTGAACAGCCACTTTGTTAAAATGGTGCTAAAAGAAGGTTCAAGGTTAGATTTTTATGTAGTCTGCCTGCTCAACTTCCTGAATTCTTCAAGACTACATCCTAATGCTATGCATGACCGGATATCAAATGGTAAGACATAGACATCTCATTATCAATTCTATCATTGTAGGCGTTTTCAGTTAGCAATAAGGGTTTTAGCTATAATGGACCTGATAAACAATTGGTCAGCTGTTGGTCAATAGACTGCAGTGCTGATATTTTGTGAAACACAAACCAACTTTCTAAATTCTACAATTATCATAAATTTTAGGGAGGTTCTGGAGAAATTACTAAATTTTCCCTGGTCTCAGTTTGTAGTCTGCCGCTGGCTGGCTAAACTGTAAGATTTTTAGAGGTTTAAAATTTCTACTTGAGATACCTGTCATATGCATTTTAGAGGTTTATGATTTTTCTTTTTATGCCACTTACTTCCCTTTGTTTTCTAGAGAGCATTAATTTGATATTTTGGGAATGAAGAGAATGAGGTGTTTTTATTGAATAGAATAGAATTAGTAGCAGTTTTACATAGTGTAAGGCCTCTTTTCTCCAGTTTTAAGTTTGTAATGCCTCCTTTGTTCAATTTTAAGTTTTAAGTTTCTAATGCACTAGAATTATTTGGTTGGTGTTGGATAAGTAATCATATGAATTATTACTTATCAAAAAAAAAAAAGTAATCATATGAATTATTCAATTTTCTCGCTCTGTTTGTTTAATTTGCCAGGTGGGTAAAAGAAAAATGTGATTAACATGGGTATAAGCAGCAATTGTATGTACACAATAATATTTTCTCAAATTGACCTATGTTTTCATGTGCCTGGTATTCTTCACCTTCATGTTTACATTGCATTTACAAAAACTCCAACATAGTTGTTAAGCATTGTTAAACTATGCAGACATGGAACAAAATGGATTATTTTCTAAGCATCCTGAATTCCACTGACTTGGATTATTATTATATAGATTCAAAAAATTGTATGGATGATTCAGTGATTAGCACTTTGTGATATACTTTTTTTTTTTTTTTCTTTCTTTCTTTCTTATAGAGAGACATAGCAATGAGATGAGATTGAAAAATTAAAATTGAAAGTTTGACTTACTCGTAATGGTTGCTCAAGATTTTGATTTATTCTCAAACACCCCCCTTTAACATCAAATTTATAATTCCTTAATCTACTCTTCTTTTAATTATGTCAGATTCTAAGAGAGAAAACGTTGATCAGTCAGGAGTTCACTGTCAAATTGTTCAAGAAAGCGGAGCAGATGTATCTTCTCTAACTTATATTTTAGCGTACTCCCTCCCCCCTCTTTCTCTATGTATATATATGTATATGTATTTTTGTGTATATGTGTGTGTGTGTGTGTGGCTAATTAACTTGTTGCAATTTATAGGAGTGTCATGCTCCAGACTTCCCCCCACCCACTGATTTGGATCGGCCAATCACCACACTTGAGGAGAAGCAAGTAATTGGCCTCTCACATTCAGTTACTCAGCTTGACAATTACTCTCCTGTATGTATACGCATATATATATATATAATTGGGGCTAATTAGTTTTGTGTATTTTGTAGCGATCTGATGTTACAGCCTACCACCCCGCCTATGTATGTAATTTTTTTTCTTCTTTTATTGAATATGTTAAATTCACATTACACTTCTTTTCATATTGGAAAATTTCTTTGGTAGCGGACAAATTACTGGTGGGGTAGTGGTTTATTCTGTTTTGTGATTCTGTTAATCTTAGATTATAGCTTCTGCCTCCCCTGACCCAATCAAAAAGTTGTGTGAAATAATACTAAATACGCTGAGACGTGTAATTGACTTCAACAAAGTAGGTGTCACTTCTCTAACACCCGCCCTCCTTATATTTTAGCACACAAGGGGCTAATTAATTTGGTGCATTTTGTAGTTACCAATTCAAGCCTTCCACCCTCCATCCTCTGGTTTGGGTTGTCCACTAAAACTCAAGGACAAACCCATTGTGTTGGAGATGGTCGCTGGCCATTCACACTCACCAATTCAGCGTTTCAATGACAATCGTTAATGCTGAGGTGTTCCACGGAATCCAGTCAAAGCGTCAATCTTGAACGTGCTTAATCAGGTAAATAATTTTCGGAGTATTAGTTAGATAGCAGTTCTGAGATTGTTCCACTTGTAACGAGATTTAATTACCCCCAAAAAAAGATTTTCCCACACGTTTATGATAATTCTGAATTGGTGGTTGTGTTTGATAGCAATCCATTTATCAATAGATCCGATGAAATTAGATTCAGTTATTAATTGTTTTGGGGAGAGGAAACTATGGAGATTTTGTGTGTGTATGTACATATATGTACGTATACATGTATGTTTGTATGGAACTCAACTGTTTGTTGTATAATTCCCATTATTGTGCATGTGGTTTTTGATTGTACCTCATTTATGAGCTATATGTGTCCTTATTGATTTTTCGAGTGTGAAATGAGTACATTAGACTCTATCAACAGTTCTAGGGATATTAAATTTTTCCTGGATAGTTCTACGGATATTCTTATTGATTATAATATAAAATTTAGAAAAGGCGTAACAAGGGTTCCAATCACATAAAGTTTTTCAAAAAGAAGAATTACAATATCCTAAGAATATCATGCCTAATTCAATTGAAAGCGCTTATGTCCATGCAAGGTAACTCTTATTTTGTTTTCCGTATTTATTTATTTATATATATTTTTAGAATAGAAAGTTAGCGTTAGTATATAGCTTCCCGTTTCTGTTCCGTTGTTTTTTTTTTATTATACATAAATTCTAAGTCATAAGTTCTTATGGATTTGTTGGGGGAGGAGGAATGAGGACATTAATTTATGTCAACAACCTGAATTTTATCTAGTCATAATCTCTCTTAAATCCTTAGCATCAATGAAGCAACTTTTAATTTATATGTATGTAGTTATATTTGATATTGAAGGTAGAGGGAAATATAATTTTGAAGACAACTTTTAATGCTTCTTGAATCCTTGGAGATACATGTCCCACGTAGGTGTTGAACATAACAAGGTTCCAAGCACTTAGTAGGTCATGGTTGAATATTTAGAAGAAAAGAAATGTAAAAGGGGTTCAAACACTCAAAACTTTCTTCGGAAGAAGAATTAAGATGATATTGTGAGAAATATCATGTCTAATTAGTTTTAGGTTTTTTCTGTGTAACATAAATCTTAATTCGTTTTCCGTGAAAATATTGTGACAATGGAACATTAGCCTTATGAGACCCCCCCCCCCCCCCCCCCCCCAAAAAAAAAAAAAAAGTTGCACTGTCATGTGCAAAACTCGTGGTATGTATATATTATTATTATATTTTTGACCATCAAATCTATCCCTTGTGGAATGACATTTTAGCCATGGCTTTTGCTAAAATGTCATTCCACAAGGGATAGATTTGGGTTCCTTCTTCCCACGGTCGTTTTGAAGTTAGATCCTTGTTCTTATGTTTGTCTAATTTTGTTAATCGAGAATTCCCATGGAAAACCATTTGGCGGTCTATAGCTCCAACTAGAGTGGCTTCTTTATTTGGACTGCTATGAGGGGAAAGATTTTAACAGTTGATAACTTGAGAAAAGGGGGTAATTATATTGTCAATCGGTGTTGTCTATGCAAGGATACTGAAGAGTCCGTTGATCACCTCCTTTTGCATTGCCTACTAGCGACCGAATGTTGGAATCTTATTGTTGGGTTGTTTGGCATGTGTTGGGTTATGCCACAATCTACTAAGGAATTAATTCATGTTTGGAGAGGATGTCGGGTGAGAAGAGATGTCCGCGATTTCTGCAGAATCGTACCTCATTGTGTATGGTGGTGCATCTGGAAGGAGAGAAATAGCAGAATGTTCGAAGGGAAAGAGTCGCCTATGGCAATGGTCAAACTTTACATTCTTCGCTCTCTTTTCAATTATGTGAAGAGAAGTTTTTATTCTTCTTCGGAGGATTTAATTACTTTCTTGGATTCGTTGGGGCCTTAGTCCTGGTCCCACTCTTGTAATTGGGACGCGTTCCCCTTTTGAATGCCTTTTCTTAAATTATTTTTAATTATCAAAAAAATATATATATTTTAGCCATGGCTTCATTTTCTAAGGCAATTATATGGTCAGCATACCCTAGGCCACAAAATGGCTGCCAATAAGCTAGTGCGCACGAGAGGTGGGTTGGTTTAGGAAAGGAGCGGGTTACTAGACAAATATCAATTACAACCATCGTAAATGATTCATAAATGTAAAAAACCTTTCGATTTGTGATTGTTTCATCAACTCCTCGTTAAACATCAACTGAAGTTGGAGCTTAACAAATGGATTGGATTTTATGCTAGCAATGACAGGGGCTTGAAAGGTAACATCAGTGGTGGTGGTCACCTTAGTTTTAATATATATATATATATAAAGGTTACATTCAAGGATGGATATAAAGATTTTTGGAATAATGACGGTTTGTTGGATATGCTATTTCGACGGGTGGAATCGAGATCATCAGAAAATAGAAGACGATGTGAGATAGAACATGGTTGTGAAAGAGGAGATGGGAAAAGGTGTGGATTTTGTTTTGGGTGTTAAGAAAGGGGAAATTGTGGTGACCGGTGGCTGTTTAGCCTTTTTCATTTGGTTTTGGTTCTAATAGTATGGTGTTATTAAATGAGAAGTCTATTTTATACACAAGTTTCCCTTCCCAATCACCGGAGAGAAGAAATATATCAAGCCAAGATAAAGTAGGAGCCTCCATGCTGCTTGTCTAGGTAGAAGACGCTTATTCCAAATGCAAATCAACAAGCTGATTGGCCTCAATAAACTCCAAGAATTCCTCCATCGTCGGTGTCCACCTCCCTCTAGTAGATCTCTCTAATGGGGATCTAACCACATTAATATCCCCACCAATACACCACGGAAGGGGTAATCCTCCTTGCAGTGCACAAGGTCCTCCAATAACAAATGTCTCTCTTCGTCCTCCACCGGACCATACACACTAGAGAAAACCTACTGGGATCCATCCTCCTTCCATGGCAAAGGCACAGGAGATAGAGAATTTCCCCTTCCACACATCCTCCTTAGATTCCTATCTCCTATCCCACATCACAAGGACACACCCTGAATGTGATGACCTTGTGGGTAGGTGTGCCGTGGGCGGGTGCGAAAAACATTATCACGCTACCACACTGGCGAGTTACGGGTGCACAGTCCCACATCACCTAGGTAGGTAAAGAAAAGGTGAAGTGCTTATATGTAAGTGTGTCATCTCCAATTGGTATAAGGCCTTTTGGGATAAAGTCCAGGAGCAAAACCGTGCGGGCTCAGGTCCAAAGCGGGTAATATCATACCATGTGGTGGAGTGGGTACTTACACTGAAGTACCCACAGCATCTAAAGCCTCCCACTCCTCTGTCAAGTGAAATGGGAAATTATATATGACCTTGAAACTACTTGGTATTTTGAATAAAAGGAAGAAAGCTGGTAAGTGCTTCATATCGTCAAAAGAACTACGAGTAATTGATATTTAGAAACAAATGAAAGAAGTATTACCTAATAAAATAAATTAGTAGACTGTTGAACCAATTGGGCGTTGTTTGGGATTAGATTAAATGGGAAATTGAGGTATGTAATAGATAATGTCCTATCTTTTATTGCCCTACATGTTCCATTAGTATCATTATTTTGAGCGGTCACTGTGTATTTTGCTTGTGTTTAACTTTCCCAATTTTATGCAAATTGGTTGTTAAGTTGTAACAGGATTTGTTGTATATTTGGGTCTAAATTAGTTAAAGAACTAAAAATAAATAAATAAATTGATGGTGATATTTTGTTGTTGTAAAACGTGTGTAAAATATTATGGGCCCAAAATAGAATTATATTGCTTTTGATTAATTCCTCTGCACCTCTTTTGCTTGATTCAAACCTTGAAAAGTGAAGCTGAAATGCATAGGAAACAAGTATCTTCCCTGTTGATGTTGAGGGTTGTGTGTTTTCTATGGAGAAAATTTATTGAGAATATAAAAATCCAGCCTTATTATTAGGAATAGTTTTATTATCCTAGTTGCTTAATGAAGAATAGGGTGCAATCCGCTGCTAATTTAGTGAGGAAGTAAGTGATATTATTGTATCATATACAACATAATATGTAAACCAATGACCACATCTAAGAGGAAATAGATTCTGAGTTTATCGGAGCAAATGCTGCGTGAGGTGTAAAGTGCCTACAAGTTCAAGTTGTCAAAGAACACTTTGATTATGGATAGAATTGAACGATTAGAAAACTTAATTCATCCAATTTGTGAATAAGTAAACTATGGCCAGCTTTGAGTGCCATTCATTGGAATTATGCATGACACAAACCTTTTTTTTTTTGGGTGTTATTTGCAGGTGATTCGAGATTGCATGAAGGGGATGAAGGGGACTGACTGTGTAAAGGTGGTTTGTGAATATCCTAAAACTGTGTGTAAACAAGTAATGATGTTACGAATGTCTAGAATGAAATGTTCTCATATATGTTTTTTTAAGTAACAAAGTGAATGGGAGTTGTGGGTGCATGTAATTGAATATGATTGATCCAGTGTTCATCTGAATAGTACTGTAAAATTTGTGCCTTAAATCTTTGGAGGTACAAACAACTTCTTTTGCTGATACAAAACAGTAATACAGACTCACAGTTGTGAAATTCAAGCTATCCACCAAACCCGCTCTCTTCCCTCCAATGGCGACTATTAAATTAAGTAGAGTTGGATTTGGATTTTGCTGGTAGTTGGATTTTGAATGTCTTAATATATATAGTTTGGTGAGTTTATGGTGGTAGTATGGTCTTAATTAAGTTTCCTAATTTTGGAAAGAAAATGAAATTTATGAAGTTGGGTTCCAAGCATGTTAGTGGGTTTCAATTTTTTATTTTTTATTTTTAATCTTAATTTATCCATTTGTGAAATTAATAAACTCGGGCTAATAGAATGTGTCTGGCCAAAATTAATCTTAAATTAATGTTGCTTATTTGTTTTTTCTGTTCTGAGCTCGAAAAATGGGCTCCCTTTGCATTCGTCAATTATTCCCTACAGGCCACTTTTGTTTCTCAGCCCAAGTCCATGTTCTCTACTTGGGCTAAATTGAATTTCTGAATTGGGCCTGACCCTTGTTGTTTTAAACTTTTCATGCCTCTGCGAACCATCTCCTCTATTTTGGGTTCAGATAATTAACTTTTTTGTGTAATGAGTTATTTTTTCTTCTTCTTTTTTTTTCATAAACAATTACTTACCCAAAAATAATTGTTCCATTTACTAATTCTCAATTTTCAAAATAAATAAAAAAAAAAGATGAGAAATTTATGATTTTTAAGACATGAACTATGAGAAAAGTTATTCCATGCTGAAAGGTTTTACAGCAATTAGATTTTTTGGGGGTAAGTAGTTGTTTGTTTTGTTTGTCAATGACACTGGGGACCCAATAAAGGCTCTGGAATTTTTTTTTTTGAAGTTACAAAATTACCTATATTTTTTTTGTTAAAATCTTACAAATACTCAATTTAATTTTTTATAATATGGTACATATATCACCTCTTTCCTATAATTATTTGGATTCTGGTAGCATCAAATAATCAAGGAATGTGACCCAGCGACTACTACTTTTGAAATATAAAATATAGACGATTTAAGTGCCTATAAAATACTCATTTTGTCTCAAAATAAGTGTCATATTTGGAAAACCGTGACTTACGCTTCCCCAAATATGATACTTATTTTCGAACGAAGGGAGTATGAAATAGTACAATTTGGGTACCTCCCTCTTCTGCTCATCACACCCTTTCATTATTTTTCATCTCTACAAACTCATTCCTTCTCCTATTTCTCAACTAAGAATGGCTTAATAGATGAATTTTCAATTGTTAGTAAAATATAGGGTTAATTACACTCACACCCTCTGAGATTTACTCTATTGATAGTCAGAAGAAACTTAATCTCTTTTTGAACAATCACACCCCTTCACATTTGATAAAGTTAACAAAGACACCCCTATCACATCTACATATTATGAATTGACTTTATTGTCCTGTCACTTTTAATTAACCTATTTAAATAATAAAATTACCGTTCTAACCTTCCCACCCACCACCACCATCACTTCACCCATGTACATAAATCATCAAATTCAGGGTGTGTGTTTTTGTATATATTTATATTGATTGTATATATCTTTGTATGATTACTGAAGAATATATGTATGTTGATTAATTTCCAAATATATATATATATATGGATTCAATGGGGTTGCTGAATGATTTATTTAGAAAAGGAAAGTTAAAGAATTGGGTGAGTTTTTTTTTTTTTTTTTTTTTTTTTTTTTTTTATCACATAAACATATATATACAAAAAAAAAAAAAAAAAAAAAAAAAAAAAAAAAAAACCCTAAATTCTATAACTTCCCTTTTCTATATCAAACCTATTTTTCCTTCTCTACAAAAACCGGATTGCAATCACATGTATAAAGAATTAATGCTCAAATATACAACACAAATAAGGGTTTCCTTTTCTAAATCAAACCCTTTTTTCTTTCTTGGCAAAAACACGATTGAAATCACACATATAAAGAGATTTAAAATACACAAATATACCTGAATGTCGGTCATCAATTCGTAATCTTTAATGCCGGGAAAGCTTCGGCCCAAATTCAAAGAACCAGAGGTGGCGATGAGGGGGTCGCTCATCTTCTTGCTCCTCTGTTTTTTTGAATTTTATTTTATTTTATTTTAATATTTATTTATTTTTTTTTTACATTTTTTTTTAATGTCTTTACAAGTACATGATACAGAGTCTTGATCTCTTGCTCAATAGAGTGAGAATGATTTTGTGTTAAAAGGAAAGGATATGGGTAGGTTTCGAAAATGACCGTTAGATTTAATCTAACGGTCCATATATAAAGTGTGGATTAATTTTCTTACTCCACGAATAACTGTTAGATTTAATCTAACGGTCCATATAGAAAGTGTGGATTAATTTTATTGCTTTTGGAAACCTACACATATCATTTCATTTTAACACAAAATCACTCTCACTCTATTTTTAGTTTTCATATTTAATTTTACCATTACCACTTATTATAGCAATAAAAGGTAATTACCAAAATAAAAATAGAAATCTTTGAATGAAAAATAATAACAATATATATTATGTATGATATTATAGGCTGCTTATTGTGTATCTCAGTGTTAATAGTATGTAGTCTTGCATGTGCACATACTAAAATTCAAATAAATATACTTTTCTAGTACAAGTAAATTTACGAACAAATATACTATAATGTTGCAGTTTGGAATATCGAATTGATACATTGAAATTAGAAAAAAATTTATTTAAAGTTTGAATAAAATTTCTTTCTATTTCAATTTTAAGATGTCTTGGTGTTCTCAAACTAGCTTAATTAGATTTTGAGAAGTTACGTTTGGCACAAATTCTCTTGTTGAATTTTCCGGCACCTGGGTTCAAAGATATAAAAATTGGAGAATGCAGTAGCAAAGATTTTTCTATTCTTATTTTGGTAATTACCTTTTATTGCTACAGTAGGTGGTAATAGTAAAATTAAATATGAAAACTAAAAATAGGGTGATAGTGGTATTGTGTTAAAAAGAAAGGATATAGGTGGGTTTAGAAAATGGCAATTAGATTTAATCTAAGTGTCTATATAAAAAATGTGGATTAATTTTCTTACTCAACGGGGAGCAAGAGTTCAGGACTCATATGATACATATGTATATGTAGCCGAATTTTTAGTCCCGAATTTTTAATCCATACAACTTACATATCCGTATTTAAAATTTTACGTTTCTATTTTTTTCAGCCATATTTTTTCTACAAAAATCAAATTATATTTGTTTTTGAACCCCTTTTTCCCGTAGCATATATCAATCCCTTTTTTTTCCGCAGCATATATCAACCCACTTGTTTTTCTAATATAATTAATGTTTTGCCTATATCATTGTCAAAGGTTTTGGAACCAACCCCTAGTTAGTAAATCCGCGTATGATACGCGAATTAAACGCGTACGTACGAATTTTTGAGAAAGTACTCCCATTTGTCGATCAAAGTTGAAAGATACGGTAAAATACGCATTTTTTTTTCATCATCCTGTATGTAACACGGTTATTCATTTTGGTTACTCCGTTTAATTCGTATTTATACTTTAGGTAACCTAATTATTATTATTATTATTTTTAATTTCGTTCACCTTTCTAATGGTGTATTTTTCTCAAACACAAATTTTAACATAAACTACCGTCTTTTGTTTGGTATAGCCCTTCTCTTTCACACCATCAAAATAATACTATTTGTTGTGCAATCTCGGGAAAGGTTGTGACCACTCAGTTGTTCAACTATCACTCCATTTTTTTTTTTAATCTTTTATTATTGTCAATCCAATACTTGATCTTTAATCAACGTAATGAAACACATATATATACATTATGGAACACTATAATTTTGAAGAATCATAGATTTTTATTGATGTTTGTAAACATTTATAAATTTTTTGTTTTATTTTGAGATCTTTTAAATTTTGTTAGTATCTTTATTATTATTATTATTATTATTATTATTATTTTGGAAGTTACCCAAGGGAACATTACCCAAGGGAAGAGTACCTACGGGAGCATTACCCAAGGGAAGATTACCCACGGTAACATTACCTCAGGGAAGCGTACCCAAGGAAAGATTACCCAAAGGAAGAGTACCCAATGAAACATTACCCAAGGGCAGAGTTCCCTAGGGTAGCAAAATAAATAAATAAATAAATATTTTTCCCGAGGGAACAATATCCGCGACATTATTCCCGAGAGAACAGTGCCAAGGGCAAGCAAAAAAAAATGCTATTCTTGAGGGAACAGTACTCGCGGCACTATTCCCGAGGGAACAGTGCTAAAGGCAAGCAAAAAAAAAATACTATTCCCGAGGGAACAGTACCAACAGCACTGTTGGCACTATTCCCAAGGGAACAGTGCCAAGGGCAAGCAAAAAAAAAAAAAAAAAAAAAAAAGAAAGGAAGAAGTTACTGTTCCAGTGAATAGTACCCCTAACTTTAAAAGGATAGTCCCGATATTTTAATTAATTATTTAATTGCATTTTTAATAAATTAATTGTTTAAATTGCTTGTTTATTTGAATTTAATTGTTTATTTGCTTGATATTTAAATTAATTGTTTAATTATATTTTATTTTTCTGTAATTACATTAATTGTGTTATTAGTATTTTCTTTCATTGATGTAATTGTTTAATTAATTAAATATGTTATTGGATTATATTAGGGTTTTATTTTCTGTTAAAATTCACGTTGAGGCCAACTAGGGTTTTAATTAGGGTTTCCATCTTAGATTAACAGTTGGACTTAGGGTTTATTGTGTGCCTATAAGTATACTGTGATACGTCTACATAGGATTACAAATAAACCCTATTCACGTAGTGAAAGGCAGAGAGAAACAGAGAGAAGGATTTGAGAGAAACAGAGAATGACGTTGAGAGATAAACAGAGGGGTTCAAGGAGGACGGGACGGAGTGCTTCTGGGTTGAACCAAGAGCAACGGAGGAGTGGAACGGCAGTTTAGAAGGTGGTCGGAAAACTCAGAGACGGTGGTTTAGAGTTTCAAAACTGAAACTCAAGGCAAGTCTCTGTTCTACTCTTTCCCTTTAACCTGTGTTCTGTGCATGCTTAGGTAGACTCCAGGAGATTAATTAATGCTAAAATATATCTTTGATACATGCTGAAATTTGATTCGTTGAAATAAACTGGTTTGATAGTTCTTTAAGTTTTCAATTTGAAACTTTCTGCTCTTGCTTGTAAGCTTTGTGGAATTGGTATTGTTAATGCATTGAGATGAACTATAAATAATCTAGAACATTAATTGACCACTGGAACAAGTATTAAAACAATACAGAAGGGTTTTGCATGTCGCTAGAGGTGAAGAAGACAACCGGATTCAGATTACGGCTCTCAGAGGAAGATAGCCGGCTTTCCAAAGAAGGGAGCCAGCTTTAGGGATGAGAGAGCCGGCTCCCGCAAGGGTGGAGCGAGCTCTACAAGGGGTAGAGCCAGCTCCCACTAGGGTGGAGCCTGCTCCACCAAGGGGAGAGCCGGCTCCCTTGTTTTGGGAGGTGGCTCCTTCTCCATTTGTTTGGTTTTTCATGATTTGGGCTCTGTTTGGCCGATTGGGGTATTCTGGAATTGTTTTAAGTGCAGTAAAGGGTCTAAATATTTGTTGTAGACATTTAAAAATACTTGGAAGCAGTCCTGGATTAATGTATTGAGGAATGGAACAGCATGTATGTTAACCATAAATTGGTATGTTGAGTATGAAATAAAGGATTTAATTACTTTCTATTGCTCTAGCAATTTGTTTATGTATGATTAAACAGTGTTAATCATGTTGCAGCACTATAATGAGCATAATTTATCATCTAAAATATTTATGCTTTAATTGGAGCATTTGATGTTGTAATTTATACAAACTACATCAATCTATGGACTGATTGGAGGAGTTAAATGTTGTGTTTTACTTTACCAATTTAAAGGACTGGAATAGGATTTATAGATCTTATATTGGATGCATAATTTGGTTATACACATATTAGACTTTATTTATGCTTATTCCGGGGTATAATTGATAGGTGTTTATTCTTGTATTGTCAATTATACGGACTTGTGTTATTTGGAGGATTGTATGCACCGGTATAGGACGATGGCATACTAAGTATGGATTAGTTCAAATACTAAGTCCTACCTAATCTGGATTGAGATTTGGATTAACCATAGAGGTTTAGTCCTACTCATATTTGTGTCATGTTAACAAAACAATTGAATGACCTACTTTGATTTTTGGATGGATTGTTATACATATATCAGGCCACTATACCAGATGGATGATATTTTGTATTAGGAGTATACAGACGTTATATAGTTATCATTATGGTGCCATGGTATGATCTTGAGTCTTAGGACCATGGTTAGGGTACGTATATCACCTAGGATGGATAACTGGACAAAGGTGTTGTTCCCTGGTAGGTCTAGGTACACATGACCACATTATGTGCGATTTGCATGGTATCTCTACTCAGGCTAAGACAGACCTATTAAACTAGTGAGCGTCCTATAGTGTGTAATTATATATATATGGACTGCTCTAGATATGGTTGAGCTATCTAGGATGTATCTGCGTATCGGGTTTCTGTATGGATCGTAGTAGGATAGGACTTGCATGGCCTCTGGCAATTGGAATTTTATTTTAACTTGCAATTGCAATTGTTAGCCCTGATTTACAAAAGGCGTCTGGACACCAAGAATGGTCTTGGAAAGTGTGTCCGGACTCCAAGCCTTGTTCTTCAAGGTTGACTTCTTCTTTCTTGCTTAGCTTCCCGAGCTTAACTTCTTTCTCAGGCTGATCATGCTCTTGGCCGGACTTAAGTCCATTTTACAGGTTTTTATTGCTCGCCAAGCACCTTGTTCATTAAAACCCCGTAAAAACTCGTTTTTATGCCATTTTGGAGATAAGTCCTGAAAATAGACAATACAAAACAAAGCATGTAACACATACTTTATTAATACGCTAAATAAACTAAATCATACAATTAAAGACACTTGAATATGCCAAATTCAGCACTTATCACACCCCCCCAACTTACATTTTGTTAGTCCCTTAGCAAAAACAGAATTAAGACATCCCCTCTTTCGTGGGAGTGATGATTACATTTAGTACATGCAACAAGCCTTTTAAACCCCTAGGTATCCCTAGAGGACGAGTGAAGTCTCGTGAGGGTTTATAAGAAATGATACCCACAAACACGAATCAAAAAGCTCATTCTTTAAATTGGAACACATGACATTGTGGAGGATTTTTATTCTGATGACTACAACAAGTATGTAAAGAATGATATCTCGAAACACTTTCCAGTTTCTAGCATTCATGCATCAATAAAACAGTCCACATACATAATCTTCAACATCTCATTTTTAATAGAATTCATCTCAAGCTTCTTTCTAAGTGAATCAAAATATTTTATTTTATTTTATTTTATTTTTATTATTATTATTATTATTATTTTAAATGCATTCTAATCCCTTAATGGCACATATCATAGCTTTCACATCCTTGATTAATACAAACTGTATTAATCACATAGAACCCACCCCCCCCCCCCCCCCCCCAAGAAAAAATAAAAAATTAGTTCCAACAACAAGAAATCATTTGCCTATTTTTTATTTTACCCCCAAACTTAAATGATACGTTATCCTCAATGTATGAAAATAAGTATAAAAATGAAGCATACAGAAAGGGTGAAAGGAAACAACACTTCTGAGTGCTCAAAGCATGCATGTCATGCATCCAATCACGTAGGTGAGATATTACATTGATTGAATTTCAATTTAACAATTACCTATTTAATTTTAATTGATAATTTATTTAATTATTTTAATTGGTATTTATTTTATTATTTAGAAAGATTTAGATATATATTTATATTTAGGAAAGAGTTAGAAATAGAATAAAATAGAAAAAGTAAAGTTGTTTTAACCTTTAAGAATTCTTAGTATAATATGATTTATTTTAATTGATAACTTATAGAATTTATTTTAATTTGTAACTTATTTTATTATTTGGTAAATTACTTTATTATTTTATCTGTAAATGATTTGAAACATCTTTATTGAATTTCAATTAAAAAATTTCCCATTTAATTTTAATTAGTATGTTATTGTATTATTTGGTAAATTATTTTATTAAATAATTACCTATTTTATTTTAATAGGTAACTTGTTTATTTTATTTGGTAACTTATAGGATTTATTTTAATTGGTAACGAATTTTATTATTTGGTAAATTATTATATTATTTTATCTATAAATGATTTGAAACATGGAATTTCAATTAAACAATTATCTATTTAATTTTAATTAGTAATTTATTTAATGATTTGAAATTAACATCTTAATTGAATTTCAATTAAACAATTACTTATTTAATTTTAATTGATAATTTATTTTATTATTTGGTAAATTATTTTATTAAATAATTACTTATTTTATTTTAATACATAACTTGGAGGAAGAGGAGCAGTGGCGTTTCAAAGGGGCAGTTTCCTATTTATTTTAATACATACCTAGTATATATATGTAGTCTGTAGAGGGTTTAGAAAACCTGCATACAGAGAGAGGCAGGGGCGAGAGAGAGAGGAAACCGTGAAGAAGGAGAAAAGAGAGGTCTGCGTGACGGCTTGAGAGTGAAGCCAAGGAGGCCGAACCAAGGAAAGGGTTTCTTCTGTTTTGCAATTCTGATATCGGAGTATGGCTTCTCAACTCAACGTCTCTTGTGAACAACAACCAGGAAAGGCCGTTGTCTGGAAAATCTCCTCTCAAAAGCTTCAAGAAACCGGACAAGTTGTCTCTTCTCCAACGACCTTTGTCTCTATATATATTTATATGTATATATATGTGGCTAATTAATTTGGTGCGTTTTATAGGGATTTGATAACCAGAACAAACCCCCAACCAGTTGGAGAGATCGATTGGAATTGGAAATATTCGGAGGCAAAGTAAGTGTCTCTTCTCCAACGCCCTAGATGTGTATGTATGTATAATAATGGGCTACTTAATTTGGTGCATTTTGTAGGTATCTTTTTTAACTCGCGACCCATCATCCTACGGTTTTGGTGATCCAATAGAACTCAAGAACAATCCCAATAATATAAGGAATGTCTCTCGGTACACACATAGAGCAATTCAGTTTTATAATCACAAAAATGTAGGTAATTATTTACTTATTTATTCTTTTATTGATTGGTATGTTAAATTCACATTACACTTGGAAAAATTCCTTTGTAGGGGACAAATTACAAGTGTGTGAAGCTTAAGGGGGCAAAGCGTGTGATTGTGGCCAATATATTCTTATACATTACCTTTGAGGCCAAAGATGAAAATAGTGATGATGGTCAGTGTAAAACTTTTTATGCTGAGCTGTCCCGTGGAATCCGATCAGAAGCAAAGATCAAGTATTGCGGGCTCGAACCTAAATTAGGTAAAATTAATTTTATTAAATCTGCTCAAACTAAAATCCATTTTATCGATTTGGATTTTTAATTTTAAATCTGAATTTTAAAACAGACAGAATATGATATGTTTAGGAGATTAATCCACACATCTCAGATCATGTGGCCAACACGGGTCAATACATTATCAAACAATAGTGGGGCCATCTCCTGCAGATCATAGAATTTAAGTGGTACCACCTGTAGAATTGAATTACCTTTTTTATATGTTTGCCGGGCTATGCAATGACTGTAAAATCTTTTTGGATGATTCTCTTTTGATGTGCTAGGTTGCATTAGATTTCTGACTATTAGGCTTTTTTACCATTTGATTGTATTTGCATAGATATTTGTGCATTGCGTTCCAGCCTTAACCCACCTGTAGCAGTTTTGAGATGTGCTAGAAAGTTAGCTTTAGTACATAGCTTTCCATTAGTTTTTGTCAACAACATGAATTTTATCTTGGGTCATACTCTCTTTTAGATCCTTTGCAGCTATTGAACCACGGATACTTATTTAAGGTTATATATGTTATTGAACTTATACGTGGATGCTTTTGATGCTTCTTGAATTTCTTATTAGATACTTGTATGAGATTACAAGATTCCAAGCACTTCGTATGTCATATTGAATATTTAGAAGAAAAATAATAGTAAGAGGGTTCAAACACTTACAACTTTCTTTGGAAGAAGAATTAAGATAAATATTGTGAGAAATATTATTAGTCTTAATATAAGGAGAAATATATATCCCCGCCCTCGCCCTCACTACACTAGAATTTATTTTGCAAATAATCACCTTTAATTATTTTTTGACAAGTAACTCGGAATTATTCAAAATTTCATAATTACCCTACTATCTCGGCTAATGTTTAAATAAAAATAGTCGTGCAAACTCATGGCATATATTATTGGGATGCATTCCCCTTTTGAACACTTTCTAAAATATTATATATAATCTATTCCTTGCACCATTATGTTCTCGAACCAATTATTAAATCTGCTCAGACTAAAATCCATTTTATCGATTTGGATTTTAATTTTAAATCTGAATTTTAAAACAGACAGAATATGATATGTTTAGGAGATTAATCCATACATCTCAGATCATGTGGCCGACAAACAATAGTGCGGCCATCTCCTGCAGATCACAGAATTTAAGTAGTTAAAGAATTTGCACTAAAATAGTCATTAGGTATAAGGTACCACCTGTAGAATTGAATTACCTTTTTTATATGTTTGCCTGGCTATGCAATGACTGTAAAATCTTTTTGGATGATTCTTTTTTTGATGTGCTAGGTTTCTGACCAATAGGCTTTTATATTCTATTTGATTGTATTTGCATAGATATTTGTGCATTGCGTTCCAGCCTTAACCCACCTGTAGCAGTTTTGAGATGTGCTAGAAAGTTGGCTTTAGTACATAGCTTTTCCATTAGTTTTTCTCAACAACTTGAATTTTATCTTGGGTCATTCTCTCTTTTAGATCCTTTGCAACTATTGAACCACGGATACTTATTTACTTATTTAAGGTTATATATGATATTGAACTTTTACGTGCATGTAATAACTTTTGATACTTCTTGAATCCCTTATTAGATACTTGTCTGAGATTACAAGGTTCCAAGCACTTCGTATATCATATTGAATATTTAGAAGAAAATAATAGTAAGAGGGTTCAAACACTTACAACTTTCTTTGAAAGAAGAATTAAGATAAATATTGTGAGAAATATTATTAGTCTTAATATAAGGAGAAAAATATATCCCCGCCCTCCCTCACTACACTAGAATTTATTTTGCAAATAATCACCTTTAATTATTTTTTGACAAGTAACTCGGAATTATTCAAAATTTCATAATTACCCTACTATCTCTGCTAATGTTTAAATAAAAATAGAACGTTGTGGTGCAAAACTCATGGCTTGTATTATTGGGATGCATTCCCCTTTTGAACACTTTTTAATATATTCTATATAATCTATTCCTTGCACCATTATGTTCTCGAACCAATTATTTGGTCGACATACCAACATCAGAAACCGAACCCCCTCTCTCCCATATTTTGCAACTAATTGCAATCCTAGACTCATATTTTTAGAAATAACACTATAATGTTCTTTTTGTGATACCTATTATCTACTCTGTGATACTTGCATGCAAGAGGTTTAAGATTTTTCTTTTTATGCCACTTACTTCCCTTTGTTTTCTAGAGAGCATTAATTTGATACTTTGGAAATGAAGATAATGAAGAGTTTTTATTAAATAGATTAATAATGCTTTTACAGAGTGTAATGCATCCTTTGTCTAGTTTTGAGTTTGTTATGCCTCCTCTGTTCAATTTTAAGTTTTTATCCTTTTTCATGGTTTAATATCTCTTAAACTTGTTATACTTGTAGAATTATTTGGTTAAGTGTTGGAACTGTTTGTTTTATTTCTAGGTGGGTAAAAGAAAAATGTATAAACTATTGTATGTACACAATAATATTTTTTTCAAATTGACCTGTGGTATTCTTCACCTTTATGTTTACCTTCCATTTACAAAAACTCCAACATAGCTAAGCATTGTTAACTATTCAGACATGAAACAAAATGGATTATTTTTTATGCATCCTGAATTCTATTGACTTGGATTATATAGATTCAAAAAATTGTATGTGGATGATTCAGTGATTAGCACTTTATTAAATACCAACTTTTTTCTTTTTTTCTTATAGAGCCATAATAGCAATGAGAAGAGATGAAAAATTAAATTTGAAAGTTTGACTTATTCATAATGGTTGTTCGTGATCTTTTTATTCTCAAACACCCCTTTTTAAAATTAAAATTATAGTTCCTTAATCGACTCTTCTTTTATGTCAGATAACTAAGAGCAGAGAAATGCATGAATGAAGATGAAGTTTATCCGCCAACTTCCATGAGGGTGTCATGTTTCTTGATGTGGATGACAACTCCACATCTTTCAATTGCGTAGAGAATTACTTGAAGATTCTTTCGTCAAGCTTATATTTGCTTCTCTTAAATAGCTTTTATATGTTTATAAGAAATTTCTGCTACTGTGGTTTATATACAACTCCTATGATATTATCAATAGAAGTTTCTTTAACTGAAATATTTCTATCATTACTTTTTTTTTTTTTGTTTACAATGCTTCTTATAATTTTTAAATTCTCTTCATATCAATAATTATTCAACATTACATTTCTTTTTAACTCTCACATAGCAATTTGCCTATAAAATAAAATCACTCTCTCTATTGCATAATTTACATCACGGTCAGTTGCCTATAAAAGGTTGTTTGTGAATTTCCTAAAAACTATGTGTGGAAAACTAATGGTGTTAAATATTGATGATGATGAAATCCAATCAATTGTTGATGTTTTATGTAGCTGATGAAGAAAGGTATAATAGAAAATCCAAAAGGTACTTAAAATGTACAACTATAATTCTTTGAAATTAAAAATATTTTTAAATTATTTATTTCTCAATCTTTATCTTTTTTTTTTTTTTTTGTATATCTCATTTCTTCATTAAATGAATCATTGTCAAGTGTTAATTCTTTCACCCCAAAATAAGTTTTCACGACTTCCAACCAATTGAGGGGAATGCTAGAATTTTATATTTCCAGGATCCATAAAATAAGGTTTTGCCGTTATAGAACATGGGATTCTATGGGATGAATATTGTCTATCTCCACCAGAAAAAGAAAAGATTTTCCTTTGTAGCTTGTCATTTTGTTGGTGAATTCATCCATGTACTGCAAAAAGAACAAATATACTTTAGAACTATTGAGAAATTCAAGTAACTATTTACCTCAATTTGTAATTGTAGTAAATCATGTAGAATAATTTATTAATGTTTGGCAATCATTGAACATTGTTAAGGTTGCAAGTGTTCAATAGCAGTAAAGACAAAGAATTATGTATTTTTAATACTATTAAACCATTGAAATAAATACAATAATAAGATTTTAAGATATAATAATACTTTTGAAAGCATTTTGGATATGTTGTGTTGCATCGAGCACGTACAATCATTAACGACCTTTTCAATTGTTGTTAGTTGTGCTGCAACAAAATATAATACATAATTAAGGAAGATTAAGAAATATACTGAAATTTAATACCTCTCAATATATAAATTGAATATAAAAATACGCTACACTATTAAGGAAGATTAATAAATATATTAAAATTTAATACCTCAAAGGATATTGTAGATTTTCCAATTATATCTTGAAATTTGACTTTTTCAGCGCCATTGAATTTTTTATCTTTTGTAATGGAAATTATATTTCCACGTGTTAGAGTTTAATAAATATTTTATATGAATTTTATTAGGTAATAATTTTTAGAGTTTCTATAATTTGAATATATATAATTTGAAATGTATTTTGTGTTAGAGTTTTAATAAATATTTTATTTGAATGTTAATAGGTAAATTTTTTTAGAGTTTCTATAATTTGAAATACATAATTTGAAATATATTTCATGTTAGGATTTTAATAAATATTTTATTTGTATTTTATTAGGTAATAATATTTAGAGTTTCTATAATTTGAAATATATTTCGTGTTAGAGTTTTATATTTCAGTCTTTGCACATTAGAAAAATGTTTGGTAGTTTATAACTCAAAAGCGATGTTGGACAATTAAACTCATTTAATAAATATTTTAAATGTTTGGTAAATTAATTTATTAAATAATTACCTATTTTATTTTAATAAGTAACTTTTAATAAACTTCAAAACCAAAAGGCCAAGATTAATATTTCTTTAGGTCTATATTTTTATAACTGACTTCCATGTAATCCTTTATAACTCAAAACCGATATGGAACAAGAAAAATGTTTGGTAAATTATTTTATTAAATAATTGTCAAAAATATTTATTAATTGAAATAAAAATAGTTTTTATAAAACTATAACACAAATTACTTATTTACCTATTTGAATTTTATTAGGTACTAATTTTTACAGTTTCTATAATTTTGAAATGTATTTCGTGTTAGAGTTTTAATATATATTTTATTTGAATTTTATTAGATAATAATTTTTTATTTTATTTGAATTTTATTAGGTAATCATTTTTATAAATTCTTTAATTTGAAATGTATTTCGTGTTAGAGTTTTAATAAATATTTTATTTGAATTTTATTAGGTAATAATTTTTAGAGTTTCTATAATTTGAAATATATTTTGTGTTAGAGTTTTAATAAATATTTTAATTGAATTTTATTAGGTAATAATTTTTTATAGTTTCTATAATTTGAAATACGTGTTACAATTTTATATTTCAGTCTTTGCACATTAGAAAAATGTTTGGTAATTTATAACTCAAAACCAATGTGGGATAATTAAACTCATTTTATAACAATTAATAAATATTTTTTTATAATTTATTACTCAAAATCGATGTAGGACAATTACCTATTTTATTTTAATAAGTACTTTTAATAATCTTCAAAACCAAAAGGTTGAGAAAGATGTGGGACAATTAAACTCATTTAATAAATATTTTAAATGTTTGGTAAATTATTTTATTAAATAATTACCTATTTTATTTTAATGAGTAACTTTTAATAAGCTTCAAAAGTAAAAGGCCGAGAAAGGTAAAATTAATATTTCTTTATGTCTATATTTCGAGAAAGGTAAAATTAATATTTTTTCATGTTTATATTTTTATATGGGGCTCCCATGTAATTCTTTATAACCCAAAACCGATGTGGGACAATTAAACTCTTTATTAAACTCTTTAAAACTGAAGCCGAGAAATGTATGATTAATATTTCTTTAAGTCTATATTTTTATAATAGGCCTCGATGTAATCCCCTATAACTCAAAACCGATATGGGACAATTAAACACTTTTTATTAATTGACAATGTAATCCTTCATAACTCAAAACTTATTAATTGACAATGGCCGAGAAAGGTATGATTAATATTTCTTTAGGTCTATATTTTTATAAGAGGCATCCATGTAATCCTTTATAACTCAAAACCGATGTGGGACAATTAAACTCTTTTTATATCAATTAATAAATATTTTTTTATATTAATAAATAAATACTGAAATACAATGATTAATATTTCTTTAGGACAATTAAACTCTATTTATATCAATTAAAAGGTCTATATTTTTATAAGAAACTTCCATGTAATCTTTTATAACTCAAAACCGATGTGAGACAATTAAACTCTTTTTATTAATTGACAAAGGCTAAGAAAGATATGATTAATTTTTCTTTAGGTCTATATTTTTATAAGAGGCTTCCATGTAATCATTTATAACTCAAAACTGATGTCGGACAATTAAACTCTTTTTATATCAATTAAAAAATATTTTTTTATATTAATAAATAAATACTGAAATACTATGATTAATATTTCTTTAGGATAATTAAACTCTTTTATATCAATTAAAAAATATTATTTTATATTAATAAATAAATACTGAAATACACCGATGTGGGACAAGAAAAATGTTTGGTAAATTATTTTATTAAATAATTACCTTTTTTATTTTATTAAGTAACTTTTAATAAGTTTCAAAACCAAAAAGCCGAGAAAGGTATGATTAATATTTCTTTAGGTATATTTTTTTTTAAGAGGTTTGCATGTAATTCTTTATAACTTAAAATCGATGTGGGATAATTAAACTCTTTTTATTAATTGACAAAGGCTAAGAAATGTCTATATTTTTATAAGAAACTTCCATGTAATCCTTTATAACTCAAAATCGATGTGGGCCAATTAAACTCTTTTTGTATCAATTAATAAATATTTTTTTTATATTAATAAATAAATACTGAAATCATATGATTAATATCTCTTTAGGACAATTAAACCAATTAAACTCTTTTTATATAAACTAATACGTATTTTTTTATATTAATAAATAAATAATGAAATAATGAATTACTGAAACACTTTTATTAAATAATTACCTATTTTATTTTAATAAGTAACTTTTAATAAGTTTCAAAACCAAAAGGCCGAGAAAGTTATGATTAATATATCTCTAGGTCTATATTTTTATAAGAGCTTTCATGTAAACCTTTATAACTCAAAATCGATGTGGGACAATTAAACTATTTTTATTAATTGACAAAGCCCAAGAAATTTATGATTAATATATATTTAGGTTTATATTTTTATAAGAGGCTTCCGTGTAATCCTTTATAACTCAGACAGAACAGATGTGGGACAATTAAACTCTTTTTATTAATTGACAAAGGCTGAGAAAGGTATGAATTTTTATTAATTGACAAAGTCTGAGAAAGGTATGATTAAAATTTCTTTAGGTCTATATTTTTGTAAGAGGCTTTCATGTAATTCTTTATAACTCAAAACCGACGTGGGACAATTAAACTCTTTTTATATCAATTAATAAATATTTTTTATATTAATAAATAAATACTGAAATACTATGATTAATATTTCTTTAGGACAATTAAACCAATTAAACTATTGAGGTCTATATTTTTATAAGAGGCTTTCATGTAATCCTTTATAACTCAAAACCGATGTGGGACAATTAAACTCTTTTTATATTAATTAATAAATATTTTTTTGATATTAATAAATAAATACTGAAATACTATGATTAATATTTCTTTGGACAATTAAACCAATTAAACTTTGTAATGACCTGGTCATTTTCCTTCCTTTCTTTTTCTTCCATTTTTACAGATTTTTTTTTTTTCGTTGAAATTTCTCTTCGCATAATCTCACTATTCGTGCTCAGAGTTGATTTTTGACTTCATGTACTTCCATTCTAGTTGGTTTCCTTGAAAGGCATAGCTTTACTTTTGGAGAAAAGCTTGCCGGTTGTTTCTTTTTCCCGTAGGGGCGTGGATGAAGAGATTCTTCAGAAATATTTTTGTTTCTTAGGGTGTTTTTCATAAATATCTTTTGAAGATATTTTGGTTTAGGGGTTTTTAAGAAAATATTTTTTGGAAGATATTTTCATTTCGGGTCACTTGTGCAGTTATCTTTTCGTGTAGGTGCCTTTGTACAATTAATGAAGTTAATTGCTAAGTGTCTCCTTGGGGCTTGAATCCTCGTACGGGATTCATTTTCACATTTCATTGAGTCATGTACTCTTAGAATTTACTTGTGGTCGATCCCTGCAGTTTTCGGGTTTTCGGCCCAGTTAATGCCAAACTTGTTTGGGGCATATCTTTTTATTCGGGACTCAGTTTTCGACGCATTTTCTTCCGTTGTTCATTTTATCTCGATTCTTTTTTGTTCAAGGTGTTTTGCCGTTTGAGCGCGTCTACTTAAATTTTA